CTTCCCCAGTGTGAATAAAGGTGTGATACCTCTACGGCGGATAGTATCCAAGGTCTTCTATATAGAATTTTTCTCTGAGCGGTGTAGGGAATAGGATTAACAATATTATAAATTACGAACTTGCATTATATATGACCTTGTACATAAAAATACATGTAATATATAATGAGGAAAATTTGGATTTTTTTTCTTCCAATGAGTCATTTCTTATACTGTAAATCATAATTTGAAACATACACTCGTTGTATATACAAAAAGAATATTTTGTACAAATTGTGACTGCGTTAATATTTTATCATTGATTTTGTTTCAGTCCAACCTAAAAGAACTATTATAGACCCAACATCCTATCCTAAAAAATCTACAATAAAATTAGGAGGCTCTTAAAACCAAAAGCATCTCGTTCCATAACCAAACCCAACCCGCTAGCATATGTCATTACCATTTGCCTGGGCTTGTATACAATAATTTATGTACGTGACTTTTGTTTTATTTTATTTTGGTAAATGTTTGGAATACAAAATAAGGAAAAGTGAGAACCGCACGTTCTGTTTTGGATGTTGCACATAAAAAAGAGAGATCCCAAAAGTTTTGGGTGGCCAAGTAGTAGATAACTATAGTGGACTTTCGTTTTATCCTTTTTGCCGCTAAGGCTGTGTGTTTAGTATTTTTTACTTTTGGGTAGGGAAGCTTTCTGAATTTATTTTCTGTATATAACTAAGCCAATAACATATGATTAATTCGACTTTTAGGTTTTAGCATACACTTTATGAATTTGCACACATGGTGACATCAACATTACATGTGCATTTAGAATACGTGGCACGTTGACAGCTAGGGTGGCCTATATATCGTTCATCTTCTAGAAACGAGAGATTTTTTAATGTATCTGGAACACGGGATGATATGTCATATGTAATTAGACAATTGGAATAAAGTTTTTTTTTTTTTTTTTTTCAAATGTCCCTCCATTTTTATAATAACAAATAGTATATGTGCTCGTATTCCAAGCACACTAAAATAACTCTCCTAAACAACTATATCCATATGAATGCACCGAAGAAGATTTGAATTAACACACATAATTACTACTACTAATGATAGTTAACGTTAATTAGCACATTCGCATAAATCAAGGAAAAACCCATGATTAGAAAACTTGGGAGGCAGCAATAATCAACTGGTTGAATGCACAAGAGTCGTCTTACTCGTGCCTTTACACAATTGAACACAAATGTTTAGCAATTTCGAGACAATATCACTATTAATGTCTTCTTTATTTTTGCACCAATTTGTATGTTTCTCCCTCTAGGTGATAAGGATGGACAAAGCTACACCCATCAGAATGTTAAGTCACACTCAGTGTTAGCAAGCTCACACTCTCAACTTATTTTAGCCTAACATGCGGACAATCCATAAGTGACGCGGGAGTAGATAGGTCATTAAGCTCAACATTCACATGGGTAACCTATTTTGATACCACAAAGAAATTGAAGTTTCATTGTAAAACTAATTAGCAATATAAGATGTAGCCCAATTCTTTACATGCACATGCAAAATATTTTTAATCCCTAGATTGAGGTCAAGATCGCCCTCCAACCTCTGAGAGTCAACAAGTTTTAGAGATAAAATAGGAGAGTTGTAATTTGTCTTCCAAATTAAACAATCATCGATTAAAGTGTATGATGACTATTTAAAAGTGCTCTACTAACCAATATCTAAAATAAATGAAAAACTGATTGGGTTAAACCAGATCTTATAGCCTTTGGGTCATAGTCATTAGGTAATGTGGCCTACCCCTATCATGGTTGGACGTTTCTTGTTCTTTCTCTTTAAGTCTTATGCTATTGTCTCAAACTTGTTAGTTTAAAAATGTGCACGAACAAATGTTTGCCATCTAAATTGTCACACTGATATTATATATATGAACGCCGCTCAACTAAACTCAGCCCCACTTATTTAAAACCACTGATATTCCTACTAATAATCGTACAATTAAGGTGATCCTTTGAAGTTGTATATAAACAGAGAAGGCAAGGATTCGAATTTGAATTAAAAAAAAAAAAAAAAATTACTGATCTAACCAATTTAGTTGAGTTCCGGTGTGGTTAGACACATGGTTTTCTTTCATCTTGTTTTTAGTTTGTTTTCTTTTTACAGGGTATCTGAATTCATATGCAATCTTCCAAAACCAATCACGAAAATACTACAACAACAATAATGATTCATGAAGGTATATATCTCCATGTTTGGTAAATGAAATCGGATTGAGATATAAGGGCAAACCAATTAATCCCTCGTTTGGGAAGATCCCTATAGCTTTATGTGGGTTGGTTGGTTCGTTTGTTTTTCATATTTCTCACTTGCTACCAGATAAAACCCACTAGCAACTCTTTATTGCTTTTGTTTGGCTCTTTTGGCACAAAAGTGATTCCACCCACCGCCGAACAGTGTAAACATTGTAAAAGGGCTAAGCTAGGACGGATATTTTGAGTGCATATACTGCATATATCGCATCACTTGCTTTTCTTAAAGGAAACTGCATGATTATTGGATAGGCTCATGTTGATTTTCAAAGATTAAGGTACTCATCAAAGTCAATTAGTTTTCTTCTTTTGACTCTATGTTTCGATTAGGGCATGTATATTTAAGTAATTGGCTCTCTTTAGCTTTAGCATAGTAGATAACCCTCATTTGTGATGTCAAGGACTCAAGGGGATTCGAAATTTGGTGTAGATAAAAGAGCACACTTCTCTAATTAATTTGTTTGAATTCAAGTGTCGGCTTCATTTGTTTTACATATATTTTTTCTGATCTTTTTCTTTCATACCCATATACAACATGAAACACCTGTCCTATAATAGATGACATGCAGTACCTGATGGCACTGTGTGCTGATACAGATTTGAACGTTGGACTTGATTCAACAACTTAAACTAAAGGCTTTTGCCTTAAAATGGTCCTTGAGATTAACAAAACTTCTCACTTTGGTCTCTGATATTTGAAATCGATAGAAGTGGTCTCTAAGTTTGTCCACCATCAATAATGTTGGTCATTCCGTGAAAAATCTCTGTTACATAAGGACCCAAAATGAAAAAAATACCCTCAATTTAATAAACCATGCGCCAAAATGATTTCACAAAAATTGAGGGTATTTTTGTCATTTCATTCTTACTTTACGGATATTTTTCACGGAATTATCAAAATGATTGATGGTCGACAAACTCAGAGATCACTTCTATCGATTTCAAATGTTAGAGACTAAAGTGATGAGTTATATCAATCTCAATGACCATTTTGGTGAACAAACTCAGATACCACTTCTATATATTTCAAATCTCAGGAACTAAAGTGAGGAGTTATGTCAATCTCATATTTAACGGTCAAATGTGCATCGGCAAGAAAAATTGAAGAAGAACATCACCAAATTCCACATACAAATATGGTTCACTCCTATTGAAGGGTTTGGTATTACCATCCTATAATCTGTCAATTCTGATGTCAGTTTTGTTGAAATGTCTCATATCAACCGTATCAATAAGAAAAAAAGAGTTAAAAAATTTTAACCCCGCTCCAACTAACACTGAGGCCTTTTGTGATAAAACCCCACACCTGACGGATTGTGGAAATGGTAATTATCAAGTTGGGGACAGTATCAGTGTTGTTGGAAGTAGACCTTTGACCCGTCTCTCTGATAATTCTACAAGTTTCTCAGCTTCTAGGGTTGTGATAGGCTAATAACCATGAGATTTAACTTGGGCATAAAAGCCTAAGCAAGTAATGCACGTAGTAGAAGTAGTTGTTTTGATCCCCCAAACCAGAACAAATAACATACAGTGGCAGACCACTCCTACCATCCCCCATTGAAAATAAACCATCTCTCTCTCTCTCTCTCTCTCTCTCTCTCTCTCTCTCCCCCCATTAATTTGTTTGCCATTTTTGGCATCCGCGTTCAAGGGAGTGACACAGTTCCCATTACCCTTGGTTTCCAATCGCACCATTAACGTGAAAAAAGAAGGGTCCCAGACCCTAACCCACCATGCACTACCGCATTTGCATGAACAAGTTGATACCTACTAACCTTTGCTCTCCCTCATGATCGATCATGCTCTTTGAGAAGATAGTATTGGAATCTTTTGCAAAATATTCCAAAGCTGACAAAGAAGATTCCTAGTTGGGCGATTCTATCCATCCTATCATGTACACTTTGAAACAATCAGTGGCCTTTGGTGCTTGACAAGTGACAAGGCCTGCCTCGATCGTGATCCGCCTTGTTTTAGCTAGGCATCATGTATTTCATGCATTTTGATTGAAACATCGATCCACTCACACACTGAGCCCAGTGGACATCTATTGCCTTGAAACTCCGAGTTGTTAGACTCCCGTAGTCACATGTGCGATGTATCTACAAATGTGACAAGATTCTAATAATTTGTTTTGTTTGGCACGAATAATAATATCTATGCATTTTTGCATAGAAATAATGCTGGCAATGATAATTTTCGAGAAAATTAGAATATACGTACCCATAATATTCTACATGTTGGTCTAGTGGCGGCCGCTACTAAAAATTTTCAACCAGTTAGGTTTTCGCATACCATCTTCATGCAAGTTCATTATACATATTTTGAAAAAGGGGTCAAAGACATGCAAAGTTTTCATTTGCTTTGATTAAACACATGACACGCGTGATGCAGAATGACAACTCGACATCTCCATTTTGACGAGAGTCTCTCTCGGTCAATCGCAATTGGGATGATTGGGCCTTCTGTGGCCCAGTTTGCATGTACGTATTAGGTATAGCCCACATCATTATCAATTGCATGGTTGGGCCCTTAAGTAGTCCAATTTATTATCGGGAGAATAGTGAATCAAATTTGGGCCAAAATCTGAGGCCCAAAGACAATGACACACAGGAGGGATTCGGTTCAGCGGGAATAAGGCATTCAAGTGCATCATTCTCTAAAACAATGTATCCGTGGTTCACTTGTACAGCAAAGTATCAAAAGATAAAACTATTTGCTTCAAAACTGTAGTGAAAGTATTGTTGTACAAGCTGATACAGAATTATACATGCTTTGCTCCGTAAGTTCATTTGTTTATCGAAGCATTTCCCTCTCTTGTCAGATCAATCGAATTAAAATTGCACATTTCAGCTTGGAAAAAGCAAGTAGGAAGAAAATTAGACCATTGCCTCCATGTTTCGTGGGGTTAAAGTCCTCCTTGATGTTGTTATTCTGCTGCCCCACACAACCAGCTGCCTATTCTTCTAGCTAATTCATTTTCGACTTCCTGTTTTCGAAAGAACAATGGATGATGCTCGATGAGGCGGAGTGAAAAGCTTATTCTTCAGTATCCTCGACAGATTTCTTGTATTCCGGCTTAAGCTCGTAAGTACCCTGGTTGGTTCCCCTTTTGTTGTACACACACAGCTCATTCAGTATCTCTTTCAAGAATTGCTGCCGATGAAGAAACATAACAAAATTGTAGCATTACTAGGTTAAACCATTATTTGTAGCATTTATCAAACTAATTCCACAGTTGTTGAAAATTTGGAGTGTGGCATTTAGCTAAGCATAAGCAAAATGACTGAAATACGAACCGCAGGTTGATTGGTTTCTTGCACCAGCTGCTTCAAGGTCCAGTTCGGTTGTTTTTGTTCAAATAACTTGAACACTATATCCTCCAGCTCCCCACGATCTCTTCTAGTCCTTTTCATGTCTGATTGTTTAACAGGTGCAGGTTTCTTCTTATCCTAAAATGGATAATTCAAAAAAGTTATTCCCTCTTTTGGTATAAGTTTGTTCAAAAGAATGAATAGAAAGGAAACTGATACCTTTGAAGTGGATGAAACCAAGCCAATCATCCCAGGCATGGGCCTCATAAGTAGTCCTCGGTCATTATCGATCATCTTTGGAATAAATTAAAGCAACGAGATAATCAAAATCTGTGATTCATATACCATGGGAACTGCTATATCAGAAACATATGGAAGAAAATGGATACCTGTATTTGTCTATTCTTGATCATGGACTTGTTTGTCCTTTCACGACACAGCTTCCCATACTCCTCGATGTTAGTACCGTGGGGCTTCATATCAAACTTGTGATCCACTTTACCTTCCACAGAAACTTTGCCTACAATGAACGCAAAAGCTTTTGATTATTTGTAAAGACCTCAAAACTAAACGTTCTACAGCGGAAGAGATAAAGGGTAGTAAAATGGTAACCAGGAATGCAAAAGCAGAACGTATAACATATGACTTGATGAACAAATTGGCCATCCATAGAGCTATGCTTATTAATGAACAAGTTTCTGCACGTCACCCTGCATATTATCTATAACATAGATGCATCACATGTATTGGAACCAATCAATTTCTACAAGCCAAGACTCAATTTTCTCCATTTTTCTGATATGCAGTAGTCTAAGCCCAGCATAAAGCTGGCTTCGTAGTCGTCTAAACCCTAAATACCATCCTGAAAGTGAAGAAAACTTTGCAAAACACAGTTGAAACATCAGTTTAAATGTGCATTAAACAAAAAGAAGAATCTCAACTCTATTAGATATTTACGAAATAAAATCTACGAATACAACGAGTGTCAGCAAATTGAATTTCTAAAGCTCACCTTGATTTGTTTCGGAGAAAACGCACATGGGAACAAAGTCTTTAAACATATTCAATGAATAACTTTTCGGCAAATTGGCAGCAGCAGAGTCAGGCATCTCCATCTTGAACTGATTGCAAAATCAAGAATCATAATCAACCAATGCAGAATGCAAATTGAGCATTCGAAAACCCATGTCAGGTACAAAATTCCCAATCAATCAGTGACAGAGCACAACATCAATTAGGGTTTTTCTATAAATAAGTAGGAATAAGCTCAATTAAGCTGCAAGGAAACCGAAATTACCATACTGGCACTTAAACCTTTCAAAAATACTAGCCCTAATTCACAAATTTAATTATCAAGAAGTCCAAAAGTGCACACAAGTGTATGAAGAAAAGCGATCGAATTGATAGAAAGCAATAAGAACCTCCATGGCAGTGGGGTCGTCGGCGCGTAGGGGATCGAAGGAGAGGACGACTTTGGCGATCGGGTGGCGATCGGAGGGGTTGTGGGAGCTCCACGACTTGGCGACGACCACCGGGCACTTCATCAGCCACACCGGAGCCTCCGCCCTCCCTGTGTCCAAGTTCCGGGTGCTGCTGCTACTGTTCCCGCGCTCCTCGTCCGTCGAATCTCTCTCTCTCTTCTCGACGCCCATAATCTTTAGGAATTTTGTTTCGGTTTCTGACTGACCAGAGAGACTTCAAGCTTCACCGCAGGGTCAAATTTTGTACGAGACGGAGACGCTGTCTTGGCTTTTGGATTGTAAGGCATCTCCAACCGACCCGCTAAAAGTTATTGGGTTAAAAATTGTTTAGAATGGCACAAAAATTATTTCAACCGATAACTAGGTCAGATGATTTGTGGGCCCCATCAGATCAAAACCTCCAAATTAGGCCAGCGGGCTGGCCGTTTCGAGCTCAGCCCTCCAACGCCAAAATGTCAAGCTTGACATTTTGCCACCTCGCTTAGCTCATTTGAATGACAACGGCTAACTGACGTCAGCTAGCAACGGCTAAGACTGTTGGAATTTTATTTTATTTTTTTTGGACAAATTTAAAAAAAAAAATCTATTTTTTTTCCTATAAATACCTTAAGTCATTCATACAAAATTTCTCACATACTTTTTATTTTAGTGTTACTCACTTTAGTGACACGTGTCATTCGAAATACTATCAAAAAAATTATTGAGATTATATAAATATAAAAAATCCGGAGGCTTATTCATTTGGCGACAAGTGACATTCAAAATATGTCTGAAAAAGTTTATTTTAATTAACTATATTAATTGAATTAAAATAATAAATTATATTTGGCTTATGACTCTTTAGCCCCCTCGGTTGGATATGATTTTTTATCAAATGGCTATGTTTAGCATATGGCCCTTTGGCCTCCTTGGTTGAAGATGGTATAAAATATGGTATGATACTATTCATTAAAATATAATTTCTCGGAGGGTTATAGGGCTAAAGGGAGCCCTCTGGCCTCCTTCGGTTGGAGATGGCCTAATCAGCTGTCCTGCAGCTTTTATATGGAGCAACCTTTTGTCCATGTCAAATGGTGCTCCAAAGAAGATGTCAAAAATGACAATATACATATAACGGTGACAAATAACATACCATTTACTCTAACCGATATGTCAAAGTCAATATAAAAAAGAAGGCTAAATTGACATAGATAAAGCTACATTAAACTTGAAACTACCTTCAAATATGGTTTTTGTTATTTTGAAAGACATTCTTCTTGCCTTACCTTGAATGTTAGTACATTTAAGTATTATTTTATTAATTTTACACCAACAACAACTCAACTTTTATTATTTTAGTTTTAAAAAACATAACTGAAGCAATAAAATTTAGCATATCGGAATAAATAAAATATTGATAGTATATTAGATTGCTAAGTCAGCTATCAAATTGAAATTTGAAGTTTTGAATTTAACATCTCTTTTAGAGATGCTCTAAGCTTTTGCTGGATGGAGTAAGGGTATTGTCGGTATTTTAGCGTAGTGTAGGCTTGTGCGCGGGGAATCCTTCCCAAGAAAGCATGAAGGAAAGGTTCGGTTAGCCCACTAGGCCAACCTTGGAAAGCCCAAAATAAATTTTGAAAAACCAGGCCTATTAGTCAAGTAAGCCCAAATTTGCCTAATTTACATTTCAATTCATAAGGTGCCACCGAATACTCGTTATCGGAAGATGAATTTGAATTTGGTTGAAGACGGAAAGGGGAACTTAATATCCTAGCCGTCCACTGAGTCCCATTGCCCTCCACATTCAATCCCCATTGTTGATTTTAAGCTTATCCCAATCGCATAGCCAATTTTGCCTCTTGATCTCAAATCAGTTTCTGCGAATCAATTCTCTTTGGCTAAGAAGGCGATAATCTGATCTAATAGAATTCATTTTGATAAGGAGATTCCAACAGCCATTGAATAAATCCAATCGATTGTAGATATGGCGAAAGGTCACCATCTCTGAGCACCAATGCCAAGAAAACCACCCCCCCCCCCCCATGAAACTTTGCTCCAAATGATACATAGACTTTTGAGAGCAACGTTTCAATCAAAATCTATTGTCGAAGCCTACATCACGTCTCACTCATCCGACTTCATTTCGTCTTTTGTTTCTAGACAGTTGTTCACGATGTGGAGCACATAAGCTTCAAGCAGCGAGAGTGAAAGGAAATATGGAAAGAAACGGGGAGGGGCCTTAGCAATCTCGTGCTTCAGCTCAGGTCTCGTTAGATGACCTAAGGAGGCCTCTTACTCCACCTGAATCTTGTTTAATCTCAGTGAAGTTAGTCTTTATTTATATTACACGTGTGATGGTAATTCTAACTAATTCCCACTTAAGAAAGTAAAATAAATGTATCCTAAATTATATCTTCACATCCCAATTTACATTGTATCTTCAGCTAAAATTTTAAAATATAATTTTGGCCTGAGTCCATTAAATTTTTCGTGTAAGATTTGTGGGACCTAATTTTCATGAGCATCACGGATTGAAGGCAGGTTGGTCTACAAAAAATAAATAAAGAGGGGTGACAGTTTTAGGAGGAGATATAACTGATAGAAGACAAGCAACAATAATGAAGCAGTCAGAATCCCTGCGCCTGGGTTTAACACGTATCACGTCCGTTCGTTTTACGGCCTTAGAAGTGGAAGGCTAGGATTTGATTTCAAGACACCACGCGCACATGTGTTGGGCGCAGCAGAGAAAAGCTCATGTAACAGTAGCCATCAAAGAGTCGTACGTAGCAAAGGAAGCCAACCCATCTCCTCCTCGCATTTGATTTCTAGCCCAACTTGCTGACAAATCGTACGAACCCAAACAATCCACGTGGCTCCAAATTCACCATCTTCTCGGAAGCACACCCACACAAAACACCAACCAAACCAGAAAGATCTGCTTATCTCCCACTCCAGTTAAACTCCCTTCCATTCACTTCCTCAAACTCACCACTAACAATGAATCATCTCGCCTCCTTCCTCCTCCTCCTCCTCTCTCTCCTATCCTCCGCCCTCGCCTCCGCCGCAGTTCCCATCGACGTGGACCCTCTCATCCAACAAGTCGTTTCGGAATCCGACGACGATCAGCTCCTCCACGCCGAGCGCCATTTCTCCAGCTTCAAAGCCACCTTCGGAAAGGCCTACGCGACTCAGGAGGAGTACGACTACAGATTCGGCGTCTTCAAGGCCAACCTCCGCCGCGCCAAGCGGCACCAGGCGCTCGACCCCACCGCGGTCCACGGCGTCACCAAGTTCTCCGATCTCACTCCCAAGGAGTTTCGCCGGAACTTTCTCGGACTCAAACGTCGCCTCCGGCTTCCGGCCGACGCTAACAAGGCTCCGATACTTCCCACTAGTGATCTTCCCGCCGACTTTGATTGGCGCGACAAAGGTGCTGTCACGCCGGTGAAGGACCAGGTACATAAATTTCTGATTTTTATTTATTAATTTGAAAAAATTGGAATTTTTATGGATTATTAATTTTGTTTGATTGTGAAAAATTAGGGTTCTTGCGGGTCGTGCTGGGCGTTTAGTGCGACGGGAGCTTTGGAAGGAGCTCATTATTTGGAAACAGGGGAGCTCGTCAGTCTGAGTGAGCAGCAGCTTGTTGACTGTGACCATGAGGTTCTAATCTGATTACTTTACTTTCCTTGTATATATGCATATGTGTGTGTGTGTGTGTGTGTGCGCGCGCGCGCGTGCATATATATATATATATATATATATATATATATATTGTTTTCTTTATATTTCTTAAGAGAATGAATGATTATTTGATCTTTGCTGTGCTTTAAGTTTTGAACTTTTTGCTCATTGAGAAGATTAAAACTTGAAAGATTAAAGGTAATTGCTTCACTAATTTCTATTGTTTTATGCTATCATTTTCTATCTGAGAACAATTCAGTGCATTTGAAATTTTGTTTTTTTAATGAGGGAATGGTAAACAAAGAGAAATATTTGTTATTTGAGACGGTTTGCTATTTGATAATACATTCATGGTGAAAAAAAGATGTGAACTTAGACTTGTACCAGTCGGTAGACGAGAAGAACTTTTCTACGCTTGGGATGCTACTGCGATGGTATCCCAAGTGTAGGTAAGTTTCTTTCGCAGTAAACTAGTACTTGTGGTAGAGGAGAGGAACTTTCCTACACATGTGATGTCACTTTGATGGTATAACAAGTAGGTAAGTTTCTCTTGTCGTAGAGGGTGGTGGCGATGTGTGTTAATTTGGGAAGTTTGGTTGCTTTTTAAGTCCTGAATGGATTCGACTGTCCTCATTGCATTCTCTTATATCAAGCCTGAACATTTTGCAGTGTGATCCGGAAGAATACGGCTCGTGTGACTCGGGTTGCAGTGGCGGGCTGATGAACAATGCCTTTGAGTACGCACTCAAGGCTGGTGGGCTAGAACGAGAGGAAGATTATCCTTACACCGGAACTGATGACACCTGCAAATTCGACAAGAGCAAAATTGTTTCTTCCGTGTCTAACTTCAGCGTTATTTCTACCGACGAAGATCAAATCGCTGCAAATTTGGTTAACCATGGCCCTCTTGCAGGTACTTAGCTTATAGCATGCATTCAAATTAATTCTCACATTTTTGTTCCAAGTTTACTGATCTTTAATTTGGTCTGCTTGCATGGTGCAGTTGGGATCAATGCGGTGTTCATGCAAACATACGTAGGCGGAGTTTCGTGCCCTTACATCTGCGGAAAGCGAATTGATCACGGAGTGCTTCTGGTGGGTTATGGTTCCTCGGGTTTCGCTCCGATCCGATTCAAGGAAAAACCTTACTGGATCTTGAAGAATTCATGGGGACAGAGCTGGGGAGAGCAGGGATATTACAAGATCTGTAGGGGTTATAATTCTTGTGGGGTGGATTCCTTGGTCTCAACTGTTGCTGCTCTGCATGCATCCAACAAGTAGTTAAGACGGTACCGTAATATTAATGTACCTTGTTAGGCATTTGGGGGTTTGTAGAATGTAAAGACACTGTGTGATCTGATCCCCTAGGTAATTTAGATCAATTGGGGCAATAAGTTTATGTTCTTGTCATGGTTGACTCATGTTGAAGTTGTATAATTTTATGTATTTATATAGATATTATGGAATTAATTACTATATGTATTATGTTTCGGTAATTTTGTGTTTTTGAGTTTATGTCATGATCAATTTATAATTATTTGACATCTTTCAAAAAATATATGAACTTGAGCACAAAAGAGCGGTTGCTCTAGGTATCTAAACGCCACTGCTTGAATTTTTGGGCCTACTTAACTAATTTTTAGACAGGCCTAGTTCCTCCATAAAGCATCCTCTTTAGGCCCAATGACCATTGATGAAGATTACTCTAACCCATTGTCTTGGATTTGAAAAATGCGGCATGCAACTCAGTTAGCTAAAAACATATTTTTCTTCATCGAGCGACCGAATATGCGTTTTTATTACAAGCCAAGTGGCATCCATGGTTCATTTCATTTCCATTTTTATATCTATATGTCTTTTGCATAAAACCCTTTGTGTTTGCTCTAGGCTGAAGGCCTTTGGCAAAGGAGGATTCATGGATTTGTAAACCTTTTCAGGGAGACAAGATGACATTTAATTATCGGCTAATGTTCAATAATCTGCTTTTTAAAGGGGAACCTACCCTCTAAATGTTCACTCTAAATCTAAGTTCTCATCATGTCGGGCAGTGGCCACATGCAGTCCCACTAAGACCCCACCCCCAACTTCAAGCTGGATCCACCCTACAAATGTAGTGCGGGGACCACCAATATCCATTGGCCCTTGGCGCTGGCCCACATTTGCATTCGTAATTACGTTTTATGCAGGTAATTAAGAAAATCTAACGTTCTCTCAACTTTCAAACGTTTTTAGCCCTCAAAATTTGTAGTTAATTTCATTCTTTCCCCGATGTCAGTCAACTGTCAACACGAATCCTCACGCATGACGAATTTTTAAGCTTAACACGTAGATAACATAAGGATGGCATGTAGCTCGTGTGGTCATTGGACTTCACACGTGGGACAATCTGCTTTAATACCAAAAGAAAGTTGAGGTTCACCATAAAACAAATTAATTTTATAGTGAAATTTCAACTTTGTTCATGGTATGTATACCATGGGCTGAAATAAGTCTATATTTGACATAATAATTGATATGACTAAGATGGAAAATTGAAGATAGATTCATAACTAAATTGAAAATTTAGAGGGCCAAATTAAATTGTGTGTATAATTATGGAAAATTGCTAAATTTTCCAATAACAATAAGAAGAAATGAGTGAAACGGTATAATTTAACCCATTCAATTTATAATTGGGTTTTTTTTTTTTAACAAACGATATTATTTATCGTAATAAGTGATATCACATAAAAATTGATACGACTAACATGAAAAATTGAAGACAGATTCATAACTAAATTGAAAATTTAGAGGGCCAAATTAAATTGTGTGTATAATTATGGAAAATTGCTAAATTTTCCAATAACAATAAGAAGAAATGAGTGAAACGGTATAATTTAACCCATTCAATTTATAATTGGGTTTTTTTTTTTTAACAAACGATATTATTTATCGTAATAAGTGATATCACATAATAATTGATACAACTAACATGAAAAATTGAAGATAGATTCATAACTAAATTGAAAATTTAGAGGGCCAAATTAAATTGTGTGTATAATTATGGAAAATTGCTAAATTTTTCAATAGCAACAAGAAGAAATGAGTGAAATGGTACTTTTAACCCATCCATAGTCACATATGCAATTTATAATTGCGTTTTTTTTTAACAAATGATATTATCTACCGTAAGGAAGTGAAGGAGTTGATTAAGCTTTACACTAGGCTAACCATAATAATGTGGTTCAAATTTGCCTTTGCGCAAGAACCGAACCTAAAACCTCACACTTATAAATGAGGAGGAATACCATTAAACTGTAGTACTAACTAGCTATATTTGCGCATCTTATTCACGTATGTTTGGTGTAATATTGAGAATAATTTTGATTGCATGATGCAAATTTAATGAAGAATTGTTATTAGAATTCTAGAATAATAATCATGCATTTCTCATTCTCTGTTTTCTTTTTCATTATAGAATAATGTCAAATAATTATTTTGACGAGTCAATAACAATTTCATTTTAAAATACTTAATATAAAATAGTTTACATGTGATGGAGTAGCGAGCATTATAGAAAAGGGTGATGCCCATATATATCTTTTAAGGTTTCACACACACTTTTCAATTTTCAACCACAGGTGTGAATGAATTAAAGAAAAAAAAATCAAAGAATAAAAATTAACATGAAGTGTGTGAAAAGTGAAAATAAGTGTGTAAATAGCACCGTTCATAAAAAATAAAAAAAAAATTCTTGATAAGAAAATAAGACGGGGAATCATCTTTCCACGTGGGTATAGGTTAAGCAAGAATATTTGAGGCTGAGGGGGGAAGCTAAGAGAGCATGGCCCTTCTTTGGTAAAAACTGAGCTTTTGACATCCGGCGGAAGGAGAGAGAGAGAGAGAAAAAGAAGAAAAGGAAAGAGTCAACTTGAAGGATAAAGCACTGGGCTCGAGAGTGAAAGAAAGACTCATTGAGACACAATAATTGGGACTTCCACATACATAAATTCATCATTTCCAATTATTTTCTTTGTTTCTTTTTCCGGGAATCAGTCTCAACCCTTTCACATTGAATATTGTCCCCTTTTTACATCATAATTTATAATTAACACAGGTCTATAGCGGATTCAAATTTGAATAAACGATACTGACACAATATTCTGGTGAACAAAACTTGATAATAAAAAGGTGTGTATATAACGTTACTCATATGATGATCAAATGATGTAATTCAGCTCGACTTAAGATTATTTGAAAATAGTTTTTTTTTTTTTTTTAGATGTACTTGTATTCAAAAGCACTTTTGCTAAAAGCGTCTTACAAACATAACAAACTTTGAAGAAGTAATTAATTGCTTTATGCAAATGCATTTTAAAGTACTTTCCGCGAAAAAATATCGATGCATAACTTATGAACACACAAATTATTCAGTAACCATAAACACTTTTACCATTTTATACCGAATGTTACCGGAATCACTTCGGATTGTCTAAAAGCATCTTCAACGTTCTTATAAGCGATTTCAAACAAACCTTAGTTTCTTGTCAAAGACCCCAATTGCCTCGGGCCCCTAGTCTACTTTTTCTACCCTATTTTTTGGGGTATTTCTTTGACTAAAATGCAGCTTAATTAATTTGATCTAAACGCATTCAGAGTAGAGCTAATAAACATTGATGGATATTTGGAGCTTTTCTTTGTTTAAACGGGCCTCACTTGCCAGAGTCAAGGTCAGCGTACGGCGCGACTGCGGCTAAGGCGGCCGGAGTCCGTACTTTTTTATATCAAATAATTGAAATCCAATAATTAGGGGGCACTAATTTGGGAGGGTTCACGTGATCGTCTTTGATGAAAAGGCATTTTAATCTTTATCAACCCAGCGTTTGATCCAATGCTTTCTGTTGCTTCCACTCATGGTAATTACTTGGTAATGTATACTTTCCACTCATGGTTATTTATTGGTAACCCATGATTTCTTGTACAAAACTCCTACTACAAGAACACTTTTAAAGGTTGTAGTTTTACATGGTGTTTTACCATCTGCCCGTTGTGGGTGGGGCATACTCTACTAACCTGAAGGCTCGGAGAAAACTTAATTTGACCTAAAGGTGACAATAAATCATTCACAGTACTTGATTCATCTATTACGTAATTAATCACTTTAATATATTGCTTAGCTAAAACTTAAAAGTGTTGAGAGTAAATCCCATATCGAGAAAATGAGAGACCTTGTGTATACTTATAAAAAGATTGGGTTACTCCTATATTGACAATTGGTTTTATGGTGGAACATCAACCTTATTCATAGTATCAAAGCAGGTTGTCCTATGTGTGAAGCTCAATGGCCACATGTGATCCACGTCACTTGATTTGCTTCTAAGACATTGAGCTACTTCCCATATTACTAATTAATTTTTTGATGACCCTCAACTTTCTCCGGAAAACACAGCTAATCACCGACAATAATTAAATAATTGGATTTATAAATGGCTGATTGTCCTGATAGATAGAACTTCTTCATCATTCCACGGCATTATGACTTCAAAACTTTTCCGTTTTCTTAACCTAACCTAATGCTAATAATCACCGACTAATTGAATGAACTGTATGAGTTACCATGAAATGTACCATTAGCTATGACATTTTGATGTTAACTTTAGGACATTTTAAATTAATAAAAGAAAAAAAGAAAAAAGAAAAAAAGATACCCTTCAATCGAGGAACCATAGAGAATATAACGTAATATGACAGTGATTAATTGTTTTATTGTATTTGCTAGTGAGGTAGTAACATATAGATTTTTTATCACTCATGGATCTGTACATTTTAAAATTTAAATCTTTATATAACCTTTGTGTCTCATTGGTTTTTTGGTATCACCTTTGTGTCTCATCTGTCCATATATTTTTGTGCAAAAAAGTACTATTCAAATACAGACCCCTTTGCGCCACTACCCAAAAAGTTCATGCACCAAAACAGTAGGATTGAAAGACAAGGGACAACAACATATTAAAAACAAAATTAAAACTCAAGCATTTATACTATGATCTAATCCCATATATATATATATATATATTGACTCAATTGCAAGCGTTTGCTAATACATACAATATCGTGTCTAGCTACAACGTCGGACATGACATGTTCTTAATTTAATTTTTAGTACTGGTGAATTATATGATGGGTGATTAGGGGAGTTTGAAATGTCTTTATAAGTCTTTATAGCTGCTCAAAATAATGAATTATAGTGACGAAGTCATCAACATGTCACCTTTTTATTTAAAAAAAAGTTGGACTTGAACACAATCATATTGACTATAGTAGTAACTACAATATCTCTTTAGAACTAAGTCCGAATCTCATTTTTACTCGAAGAAAAAAATATATATATGAATTCGGTGCCTGCTGGCAATAAACCAACATGAAGCTGGGGGGCATATGCACAGTACATAGGAACAGTCGTTCAAGCCTAACTCTGTTAACTATTGCCATCAGAGATGTTGACCTTTTATTACAA